TGCCGATTCGTTGCTTTCGTGACAAAAGCTCGTTAAAGCTCTAACATGAATACCCCACGTGCTGCTGCTGCTGCTGGTTGTCGTTGATGACGATGTTTCGTAGTGGTGTTAGTAGTAGTGTTGGAATAATTATGGAAACTTATCGTCCTACGTAGAACCAGAGAGATGCCTGCCTTGCCTGTGGTAAATTTAAATGGAAAAAAAAGTACAATAAAAATATGAATTAACAACGAGTTGAAGAAGAAAAAAACTAAGTAGAATAAAATAAAATAAAATACACATACGACGGGTGTCAGAAATTTTGGTTAAAAAAAAAAAAAAAAAATAATCAAGTTAATAATAAATAAAATAATATTATATGGGACGATTCCCTTTTTGCAAGGTCCCTCTGTCTTGACTGATGGTATTTATATTAGCAACCACGTTCATGTTATGTACCTCGTTATTGTCGGTAAGTTTTATCAGCAGTGCGTATCTTTTGCGTTACCTTTATTAAAGGTGTTCGCATCGCTTGCAGCTATAGGAAAATCGGTTGACGATAAAATCAAGAGTTTTATAATTACGACATCTTTGTAATGTTAAAACTGCATGCTTGAGAATCGTTTCTAAAAGAGTATAATATTTGGAGAGTACCGTTACTAAACATACATAGTACGTCAACGTCAAACATAACTTGATCAAATATAATTAACGTTTATTAATAATACATTTGTTTTTAATTAACCCTTATTAAAGTGCACACACTTGGTAAAAGTTAGTTAAAGTGCACTGTGAGTGTTTGACACCCCCAACGTCTTTCAATACGTCTTCTGAAGCCACTATTTAATTATTTAGTTATATTTTTATTTAAAAATAACATTGTTTAAGTTAGAAAAATTAGAAAGAGTATAACGGATGAATTTGAACACAGTGAAATAATGTCTTACCACTCCCTCGATCGAGTCAGCTACAGTGTCTCGGTTTTTAAGTAATGACAATAGAATGACTGGCAACGTGCTAAACACCTGCATTCACCACCTTATCTCAGAGACCACCGCTGTTAGGACAGGTTTTCGCTATCGTTAGCTCTTCTGAATGATAATCGTCTCGTGTTCACTCTTTCTTCTCTGTTTCTCTTTCTTTTCTTTAGATGTTTCGTCCCCTATTTCTCTTTTTCTCGTTGGGTGGTCCTCAACCAAATGGGACGCAAATCTGACACGTCTCGCGCGCGTCGCCCTTTGCCATTGTAAACGAGCATACATACGCGTGGTTGGTACGTGACTTCGCTTTCATGCGATCTCGACGACTCATCGTGGTCACGAATAGTTCAAATCGATCTTTCCATCACTCTTTTGATCTTTTTTTTTTTTCTCTCACTTTCAAAGATCATTCTTAATCGATGATGTGAACTATCCTAAGTTTTATTAATATCAAAATATCGATTGAACGATGTAATTATGATAAATGGGTGCCGCTCGTTCCTTGCTTCTCCTTCTCCTCCTCCTCTTCCTTCCTTCCTTTTCTTTTCCTTTTATAAAGCACAATCTTCAGTCGTTAATTATCCCTGCCAAAAAGAGAGAGAATAATGGGGGTTGGTCCTTTTAATAAATGAAAAGTACGTAGGAAGAATAAGTAGGAAAATTATTTGTAGTTATTCGACTTGAACTTTGGTTGGTCCAAAGTTTTTCCACTTGATGACAATCGAGTTACGTACGATGGGACTTAAGGAGACGTTGAATTTCTACGTGGGCGGAAGCAATTAAATGGTGTTTCCTCTATCGAGAATGTTCCCTGTCTCAGGATTGACGATCGATATTGTAAGGTCAAGCACGATGTCGAGTTTCAACCCTCTTTGTCACCACCACCACTACCACCACCATCACTAAACCCCCTATCGTAAACGAGCACACCTTGATCGTATTGATCGTTTCTCTCTCTCTCTCTCTTTCTAATATTTAATAAAATATTATTCCATTTGTAATAATATAAGATTGAAATGAATGAAAATTCAAACTTATATAGTCATTTGAAATGAGTTATATGAGTTATATATGTTAATTCATGTGTTTTTTTTTTCTTTTTCTTTTTCTTTTTTTCTTTTTCTTTACCCTTTCCATTCGTGCAAGAATTAAAATGTCATGTTCGTGCTCGAATTACATCGCAGTAACTCTGGCTAATGATAATTAGAAAGTATTGAAGTTACGGATGTCTCATCAGTGCTGAGTAGATGTAATCTTATCTCTGCGATTTACATAATAACGACCCTACCAACATATTCCAAGCGATAAAATTATCTATTCACGTGAATAGATAACATTTAAATTTCTTCGTAGAGTACATATTTTCATAAATCTCTTATAACGGTTAATCTTTTACTCTTTCTTTCTTTCTTTCTTTCTTTCTTGGTTTTTTTTTTCTTGTTTTTTTTTTTTTTTAAATGTAAAAAAGAGCTTATGACCTATAGTTATGTAAATTAACACAAGTGCTCGTTTAAGAACGCGCATCCGCGATCGACTGTAAGAAGACTGTGAACGATGAATGAAAGAAAATACGCTGAATCATAGTGAAAATAAAATATGCATTTCGAAAGCTCGATCTCGAGGGATAGAGAGGGTGGTGGGTGGTGGTAAGAGGGTAGAAATGTAGGTAGCTTTTAATATATACGTTTTTCACGAATCTAAGAACGACGATGCAGGTGCAAAACCTATGTACATGCCAGGATCGTAGCTTGACTTACTTCCGTAACCTCTCGTTGAATATTTATCAAGGTTTCACCTTGTTTGTGAGTTACTTTCGTCAGAATTTAAATATTGCCCCCCCCCCTCATTTTTTTTGCATGGCACG